GATTACCACTTATTTCGATCCCTGGACAACTCCCTTCGTGGTAAAACTTTTAACGATGATGACGCTGTAAAATCTCACTTAACTCAGTTTTTGACCGAAAAGGATCAGACTTTTTACGAGCGTGGAATTTTCAAGTTGTCAGAGAGATGGCAAAAGGTCATCGAACAAAATGGAACATACATTACAGATTAAACTTCATTCCAAGTAAAAAAAAATTTTTTATTTCATTGAACAAATCGGCAATTACTTAGTTGCCAACCCAATACATATGAATGCCATTCAGATTACATACAAGATGTATACATATGTCACGACCCCCATAGCGTGATTTTACATCGGCGGAGATCTGCTAAAAAAGTGAACCGCAGAATTGTCCTCGAAATTTATTCATTCTCCCAGAAATGACCTTGTAATTCAAGGTTCAAGGGGTTAATGCTTTTTTACAACGTATAGTATTCGTCGAGAGGAGCAAAAGTCTAAAAGAGACCATGGGTCACAAGTTAACACTTTATATACAAAACGATGTTAAAAATGACATATAAGAATTATACAGAGTGTCCTCAAAATCGTAGATTTTACATTTTTCTAGAAAAATTCGGTTGAAAAAATAATACTATTGAATAGGAACCAAGTGACGTATCTTCTACTTCTCGTTGTACTATAAACCACACGAACTTGGCGCATCTTCAAACACAGTTTTCTCGAAAACGAAGACTTAAATGAAAAAAATCGTGTGTCGAATCACCGATCAGCCGATTGTACCATGATTTTTGGGCGTGACGGCCATATCACATAATTTTTATATGTCGCTTTTAACGTCGCTTTTCATGCGAAGGATTGACTTGAGACCCGTGTTTCCTTTCAGACTCCTGTTCCTCGCGATGAAAGTTTTATATACTGCAATAAAAAAAAATTTGAATCTTTGTCCTTGTTTTTCAAAGTCGGCTTCAGACGAGCGGTTTGCGGCGATTTGCCGTCTCCTTTCAGCGAAACGTAGATTTTTCGATATAATTCGCACACGATGCAAATTGCAGCGACAAGGAAGCGGCATGTTCGCGTATTTTTCGAACGAAGCGAATTGCTTCGCCATAAATACAGTACAACAGTATCATTTGTATCGGCATTCAATGCGTATAATCGTTTTTCGTTTATCATTCATCGGATAATATTACTCTCGTGTGAAAATAACCCCCAAAAATGATATCTTTTCTCAAATCAATGAACGTGGACACAAATCTCAGAAATCTTGCAATATCTTTGTATGCGTTATTCTACACTATTGAGAACGCTGCGGCGGCAAAACTACAGCAAACGGCAAGTCTGAAGTCGGAGTCAGACAGCGATAACGCAAGAAATAAGCAACGAATAAATGAACGAGAGAAAATAGGTTATTTGGCAAGTTATGCTGCACACATATAAGGCACTTTGTTACCGCAATAAGTTCGGTTACTTTTTGAATCAACCTTGCGTCGAGGTCATAAGGTCTCCGAATAGTATTCATGCGTATGTGAAGAACGCATGCGAGCGGAAGGCGTTTCTGCAAAACGATGGTCGAGTAATAACTGTATAAATATGATACTTTAGGAGTGCTCGACGAATTCCCCGAACCAGGCGAGAATGGACTACCCGGATTTGATGGAGCGCCGGGTGTTCCAGGAATTCATGGACAAAAAGGTGCACCTGGAGAATACGGGCCAAATGGTCCGCAAGGAATTGTTGGAGAGATTGGTATAAGTTTCCCTGGTCCAAAAGGATATCCAGGAGATCGAGGTCAGTTCCTATTACCTTCAAAGAAGTTATATTCGATCATTCTCGCAGTTATTAATAATAATGATAATTTATCGGACTGTTATAATAACGATTCTTTGTAAAAAATTACACACCTGTAAATCGAAATCTGAAGATATGAAAATTCTATTGAAATAATAGATACATATGTAAAGATCAAGGTCAGTTCCTATTACTTTCAAAGAAGTTATATTCAATCATTCTCACAGTTATTAATAATAATGATAATTTATCGGACTGTTATAATAACGATTCTTTGTAAAAAATTACACACCTGTAAATCGAAATCTGAAGATATGAAAATTCTATTGAAATAATAGATACATATGTAAAGATCAAGGTCAGTCCCTATTACCTTCAAAGAAGTTATATTCAATCATTCTCACAGTTATTAATAATAATGATAATTTATCGGACTGTTATAATAACGATTCTTTGTAAAAAATTACACACCTGTAAATCGAAATCTGAAGATATGAAAATTCTATTGAAATAATAGATACATATGTAAAGATCAAGGTCAGTTCCTATTACTTTCAAAGAAGTTATATTCAATCATTCTCACAGTTATTAATAATAATGATAATTTATCGGACTGTTATAATAACGATTCTTTGTAAAAAATTACACACCTGTAAATCGAAATCTGAAGATATGAAAATTCTATTGAAATAATAGATACATATGTAAAGATCAAGGTCAGTTCCTATTACTTTCAAAGAAGTTATATTCAATCATTCTCACAGTTATTAATAATAATGATAATTTATCGGACTGTTATAATAACGATTCTTTGTAAAAAATTACACACCTGTAAATCGAAATCTGAAGATATGAAAATTCTATTGAAATAATAGATACATATGTAAAGATCAAGGTCAGTTCCTATTACTTTCAAAGAAGTTATATTCAATCATTCTCACAGTTATTAATAATAATGATAATTTATCAGACTGTTATAATAACTGTTATAATAATCTTTGTAAAAAAAATTACACACCTGTAAATCGAAATCTGAAGATATGAAAATTCTGTTCAAATAATAGATACATATGTAAAGAATTAATCAAAAGAAAGTAAAAATGAGTGTGATTTGCATATAAAATACATTCGTAACGTACACATATTCGCGAAAGTATGCAATCGCCTTTTAAGGCGGCATAATTTTATTATAATTGAACCAAGCCATCTAAATTTTTTTGAGATCTTAGAGGAATTAGTTTACTAAACGAATGGCCAAAAAATTGTTTTCAAAAATTGCGATTAGTTGCGATGATACAAAAATTAAGAGTTATGTTTTTTTCAACTTTTTTATTTGAGTTTATAACGAAAATTTGTAAAATGCATTTTATACATCTCGACACATTATGTACACGCTGAAAATTTCATTGAAGTCGGTTGTTGCAGTGACAAGATATCGGCACTGAAAGATATAAAAATCTCGAGATTTCTTGCAGTTATCAGTAGAAACTTGTGATTATCGCTTTCTCGATTATCGCTATCTTTAACTGTTTGCAGTCCGTAATAATGTTAACCGATTTTAATGAAATTTCCAACATGCGCGTAAGTTACCAAGATTTAAAAATGGCATTTTTAAAATTTGATTGTAGGCTCAGATGAAAAATCTAAGAAACGCGAGTTTTTTATTTTGTTGTCATTCCAACCAATTGCAATTTCTCATCACAACTTTTATTTCTTTTTATTAAAATATTAGTTTTTACCTAGAAACACCAATATTATTTTTGTAACTCTCCTAATAAGTGTGTATTAAGATATTAAAAGGTAATTATTTAATTTATTACGACTTATAAAACTGTTCTATCTCGTACAAAATAATATTCAAAGGACCTATCCCTAAATACAAAATGTATCAAAGAATTTACTTCATACAATTTAGAAAGAAATTGTAATTATATTTTGGAACTCCATGATTGCTTCATATGAAATACAGCTATGCTCGATCCAGTCACTAAAATAATCTTGCATACCCAATACCATTCGATTTCCTATATTTTTAGATTACATATTTTTACATTTAGTAATTAATTTGAATTTGAATGACATTTTTCGTCAATTTGATTCATTTTTTACTTGTAAAATTTATAACTTGTGTTCAAGATCTACGGATCTGCAAGTCTATTCGTTTTACTAACCATTTCACAAATATGAAAAATTTAATTTGCGACTCGAAAACGATTTAAAAATAATGTCAAATACTTAGAAATAATGACAATACTGAATCAAAATTGCTCATTGCTTTTGATGTGGCTTGCTTAATTAGGTGCAAAAGGTTTCGTCGGTTATCCTGGGACTCCGGGATTGGCAGGACTACCGGGTCTCCCTGGACCATGTGGACCGAAAGGTGCTGCAGGAGAACCAGGCTATCCTGGTTACAGTAACAAAGGAGAGTCTGGAGAAATGGGATTACGTGGATTCGATGGACGGTTAGGGCGGAAAGGTGAAATAGGGGTCTCGGGTCTTCCTGGATTTATTGGAGAACCTGGATTCAAAGGAGAACGTGGCGATCACGGGATCCCTGGACCTCCAGGATTGGACGGAATTCCAGGACCAAAAGTTAGTTGTACCTTGTATACAGCGTGGGGCATTTTAAACAGGTCACCTGAATAACTCGCTTGTTTTTGAAGATATATATATATATATGAGCCCCCCGATACCAAGTAAGTTTGGTCTAATGCAGTTTCTCCTATCTTCAAAAACAATTATTTATATATAATAATTATTATATATATATATATATATTATATATATATATAAAAAATATATAAAATCTCGTATTACTAATTTTTCTGTAGGTGGAGGCGTCAAGGAGATGTGAAGGTCAATTCTGTTTTTTTAAATGGAACAGTAAGTTTTTTTACTTACATTCTGATAGAGTGTTTCGAGGCGAATACAATGAACTATTACGAAGGTCATTCAAGGTCACCCAAAGTCAACTGCAAGACAAAATAAATTGTCTCAGAGTACTTTTCGAATACTTGTGTATCACGTGTGTGTATTACGTGACACGGATCACAAAAGATAAACAAACATTCAATCACATTGTACGCTTATCTGTATCCTCAAACATTATTGGTAATTTTAAATTATCTGTCTTAGAAAATAATTTGAAGAAAAATTCAGAGATTTATACATTTCAGCGAAGGATTAGAAAAGTAGTAAGTAAGTAAATATTTCTGCACTTTTCGTACTAAATGTCATATGGTCATAGTGTTGTGGTCGTTGCATTGGACTTGATCTTAACTTTTACATTATGACGATAAAAATTGCACACAAGTAAATAGATGACATTATTTTTTGATTAGATTTATAAACAAATTTGTGTGATTATTTGCCATTTTACTGTATTTTAGCTTTACTTTTCTGTGTCACTTTGGGTGACCTTGAATGACCTTCATAATAGTTCATTGTATTCGCCTTGAAACACTCTATCAGAATGTAAGTAAAAAAACTTACTGTTCCATTTAAAAGAACAAAATTGACCTTCGTTTCTCCTTGACGCCTCCACCTACAGAAAAATTGGTAATACCAGATTACACGAGCCCCCCGATACCAAGTAAGTTTGGTCTAATGCATTTTCTCATATCTTCAAAAACAAGCGAGTTATTCAGGTGACCTGTTTAAAATGCCCCACCCTGTATATTTTGCATATATATTTTTAATGTGTCCTAACTAAGTTTACAAAAGCCGATTATCTCAAAATTATTGAAAATACAAAATAGTACTATCCTGTACCATTTTCCTCGCAATTAGCATGATTAGAACTTTTTCGGTTGTAATAATTTCATAGTTGAAAAAGAAAATTTATATTTCTATAAAAATATAAATTCAGGAAATATTAAGTTCGTCGAGATGTTCTGTTATGTATGACATTTATGATATTTATTAATATTTACTGGACACGGTGGCTTCACCAAATCAAGACGCCGTAATGCAAAACTATCCTACAGTGGATAAGCCCTAAGAAAATAGTAGCAGATAGAGGTTGCCACGAAAACTTTTATACCGACAGTCAGTCATTGGTCGATACCTAACCGTCGAACAATCAAGATCCAATATCTGTTTATATAATCTATATTGTGTTACCAACAGCAAGTATTGTACTCAGTTACTTTAATGTTTACAACCAGCTCCAACGTATCCCCGACTTTGAATTACTTATACGTTTCACTAACGTATAGGAAAAAATTATTTACTCAATTACTGAGAATTTCTAAGTTAAAATTCATTCAAAGGTTAGCGTCTAGCTGGTGGTTGAATTTGTTTTTAAGTCCGCTATAACGCTATGATGCCAAAAATACACAATGCTGTTTAAAAATGTCAAGGTGATCCGAGCTTTTTATCGAATTAAAAATTTCTCGAAATTTTTATTATTGCCCCTTGTTCTCCTCAAAGTACTCATTAACTTCTATCCCAAACATTTTTTTGTCAGACTAGTGTAAATACCTCAAAAATCGGCGAAACTGTTGCGATGAACATCCTGTATACATGTATGTGGATATATACATATGTATATACAGGGTGTTTCAGAAATGTCTCGCAATCCGGAAATGAGGAATTCCAGAGATCATTTGAAGCAACGTTTTCCTTAGCGAAAATGCAATCCGCGGCTTCGTTTACGAGTTATTAACGAAAAGCAGTGACCAATGAGAGGCGACATCAGCTTGCGCGAGATGGCTGAGACAATCAGCGGAACTGGACTTCGTGCGCTCGTTGGTTGGGACGCCTCGCGCCAGCCGAACTAGCCTTTTATTGGCCAGTGTTTTTCGTTAATAACTCGTAAGCAAAGCCGCGGACTGCATTTTCTCTAAGGAAAAAGTTATTTCAAATGACCTCAGGAACCTCCCATTTCTGGCTTGCGAGACATTTTTGGGATATGTTTATCTACCGGGTTATCTACCCTGTAGATAAACATATACATATTTCCCTATTTATATGCTCACCGCTGTATGTTTAAAATATCCAAACACTGGCTGAAGTATAAAATAAGATATTTGAAAACATCAAATCCTTGCATGAAGATTTAATAATGTTAACGAAGTACGGATTTTGTATTTATTATTCAAATTATAATTAATTATAATTAATTATATTAATTAAATTAATTGTATTAATTATATTAATTAAATTAATTGTATTAATTATTCAATTCTTACTTATTACTGTTTATGCAGTAATACATATATTATTTTTCATGGAATGTTCTCTACTTGACAGGGACCAAAAGGAGATCGCGGCATCAATCCATTCTCGTTGGTTCCGCGAAAAGGAATCCCCGGTGACGTAGGTGACGTAGGATTACCAGGTACATATAGAGCCATAACTTCGAGCAATTTAAAAAATGGACGAGAACGTTTAAAATATTATCAACACGATTGTGTTCCGAAGGAATCCGTGGACTTCAAGGAATGATGGGTGAACCTGGAAGAAATGGAGTCTCTGGAAGACCAGGAGAAATAGGAATGATGGGTTTGCCAGGTCCCCAAGGACCAGACGGTGAAGACGGTTCCGAGGGTTATCCTGGTCACCCTGGTCCTGTCGGTCGTCAAGGGCCACCAGGTATAGCGATTATTAATTGTTAAATTGGTTTTGTTTTATCTTTCTATCGTTTCGAATTGGTCTTGCTCTTGGATGCAAAACCTTGTCGCAAACATCGATCTGAAAACGACATTTTTCGCACTTTATACGTAATTTCCGCTCTCGAAACTAAAATCAAGCTCATCAAGGACGATGCAAAAGTCGTGGTTGCTTGTCGTGTGGCCAATGATAGTAACGATCGACTCATCATGCTAACAAATTATTTGTCCCTTTCTTAGCTTTTTATATTTTATGCACTGCGATATTTCCGGAGAGTCTTTACAACAATCTGTGCCATTTGTTTTGAATATTTTGTGGATGATTATAAAAATTACCCATGCATACGGCAATGACACAAGAGTCTGTACGCTGCACAGACATCGTTCTTGAGAAGTTAAAATTCTAATTACTTCATTATTAAAAGTCTAAATTTGTAACTGTTCATAATTATATTTATGATACATTCGACTTTTTCTAGGATATCCTGGACCACCAGGAATTCCGGCGCCTCCCGGCGCTGGTCCACGAAGTAGAGGTTTCCATTTTGCGCGACACTCGCAAACTGAAATGATACCTCTATGCCCGAAGAACACGATTAAAATTTCGGATGGTTTCTCGTTATTGCACATAATGGGAAATGGACACCCATATGGACAAGATCTTGGTAAGAATGATGAATCTTTAATATCTCATATTTTTAATATCTACCCCTATCGCGTCATGTTATGAAGATTTGGAATATGATCTACTAAATGCGGATGTTATTACTATCATTCTATTACGAATAATTGATCCTTTGCTTTTAAAAGTGCAAAACAATCTCCCGTAAAAACCAATAAAAATTACGCTTGGCATTTTAAGTAACGATAGGGCGAAATCATTTTGGAGTACTGTTTCGGATGTTGGTGAAATTTGTTCATTTTACAGACCTGCAAAATAAAGTGTCTTTCAATCTTTCTTCATCTACGTGCAAAATAAAAATTATTTAAACTATTCGCAAGGAATATAACTTAGATAAATACGTGCTGTTTCCTTTAATAATCGCAGTAAATTGAAAATAATGCAACAGTATCCTTGAATTCTTTTAACGTCGGTTCAGTTTTGTATTTGACATGTTTATCTTTGTCACGAATTATAACTAGTGAACCACCAAATTGATGAAAATGAGCATTCGAGCGATTAGAGTAGATTCATAAGGTTATGTAACAAAAATAATGATACTCCAAAAACAATATTTTTCAGTACTTATTTTGCAATCGTTTTTAACAAATGCAATTTTTTTATAGCAGGCAATATTGAAAAATTTGGAAATATTCAAGTAACTGCTCTATCAACCGAACGTTCAAGTCACTTCATTCAATTCCGCTGTATTTACATTCACGCCTAATAAATAATTCGAATATTTCTGATAATTGTGAACCGATTATTGTCCGCAGGCGCCGCAGGCAGTTGCGTCACAAAGTTCTCCGCCATGCCTTTCATGATCTGCGACATCAACAACGTGTGCGGATACGCGAACCGCAACGACTACAGCTACTGGTTGAGCACAACGGAGCCTATGCCGATGGCAATGACGCCAATACCGTCACCGGAAGTTGGTAGATACATCTCAAGATGCTCCGTTTGCGAGGCACCAACTCGAATAATCGCAGTGCATAGCCAGACTATGTCGATACCAACGTGTCCAGGCGGTTGGGAAGAACTTTGGGTCGGTTACAGTTTTCTCATGGTGAGTATCGTTCCAGTCATTGGCAAATGTCTGCACTATTTTAATTGGACAACTACAATGCAGAGATCCGGAGGGGATATACTTAGCACTCGAATGACGGATACATCGTTTCTAATTTTATTTATCAATTTTTTCTTTTTACATGTTGTTTGAAGTACTTCTTCTAGACGAAATTTTAACTAATCGTTACAATTACACACATTGTTAAAATTGTTATAAGTATAATATTTGTACTTTAGGTACAGATGAATCCGAGCCTCGCCATCCGACTGTTGATAAATCAAACTATTCAACAACTGCAATCAATCTAATAGTGTTAATATAATCAATATAATTATTAATATATATATATATATATGTATTAATATAATATAATATAATATAATATAATATAATATAATATAATATAATATAATATAATATAATATAATATAATATAATATAATATAATATATATTAATAGTATAGTATAGTAGTATATTATATAGTAGTATATTAATAGTATATTAATATATATTAATAGTATATATTAATTATATTGATTATATTAACACAATTAGATTGATTGCAGTTGTTGAATAGTTTGATTTATCAACACTCGGACGGCAGGGCTCGAATTCATCTGTACTCAAAGTACAAATATTTTGTTTATATATACTATTAATTAATATAATATATATACTAGCGTACGCGCAGAGAGCCCACAATGATAGTGGACAAAGACGTAGCACACAAAGAATTATTAAGTCGAGTCATAAATAAGAAGAATCTATCCTTCGTATCTACTCACTTTGAGTCACTGGGACAAACGAGTTTTGGCTTCCACTAAATAGATAAGGGTTCAAAATAAATAAAATAAGGGAACAAGAAATAAATGAAAAAAAAACAAAATAAATGTCTGATAAAACAACTTATTATTTATGACTGTTATTTAAAACGTGGAATTTGTATTATTGGGCAAAATTAATAGTAACATATTTCTGGAATGAGAACATTAAATAAGAAACAAACTGAATAATATTACAAAACACGTGCTTGTATAGTCCTCACGCAACAAGTAGGCACCTTCGTGTTTACGGTCCCCCACTTACTAGCTACCTTAATGCTACAACTATCGGTCGCTATTGATCGAAAACAGTGACGAAGATCGACGACGATCGGTAACGACCGATAGCTGCGGTAGCGGAGCAGCTAGTAAGAGGGGGGACGTAAACACGAAGGTGCCTTCTTGTTGCGCGAGGACTATACAAGCACGCGTTTTCTAATATTATTCAGTTTGTTTCTTATTAATCTCTTAGGCACTATGCGCCACTATAGTGGCTTTCGCGGATGTCATCTTTCTGTACGACGCGCCACTATAGTGGCTTTCGCCGTATCATTTACACGTAATTCGCGTTGAACTCTGCCGTACGGAGAAACAGCCCCGCGCAAAATTCAGCCGTGCCTAAGAGGTTAAATGTTTCTTACAACAGCTCATAAGAATATATGTATAACGCCATCCCGTAATAAGAAAAATTCAACAGCGAAAATTGAACACAGCGTCACCGTTTCTCATCGCTGCCAATATTAACAAAAACTACACTACAACAAAAAGAATGACACATTTTATTGGATAGTGGACTATGTTTATCGTAATTTGACCGATAAAGATTGACAAACGGGACTGTTGTATAGGGTTAACCTTGGAAAGAATAAAGATGCCTTATCCGAAACCGAAACTTTCAGCACCGTGACGCGGGCGCAGGAGGCGGTGGTCAGTCGCTGATCTCGCCCGGCTCCTGTCTCGAGGAGTTCCGAATAAGACCATTCATCGAGTGCCGTGGCCTCGGCACTTGCAACTACTTCTCCACTGCCACATCCTACTGGCTGGCCACCATCGAGGACTACGAGATGTTCCGCAAACCGGTACAACAGACCCTGAAAGCGGACCATACGTCGCGAGTGAGTCGCTGCGCAGTTTGCCTTCGTCGTCGGGTCACGGAGGACCCGCGCGCTAGGACACTGCCTCCTTTCATGACGAACGGCCAGAAGGATCCGGCCGGCAACATTCAGTACGCTCCGCATCGTTACCCGGTCTATCCTGGACACCAAAGGCAACAACCTCCCAACAGGGGAAGACATCCGAATCGACCAGTGCCCGACCACTTCAGAAGGAGGACCAGGCTTCGCAAACCCGATCGAACAACGGACCCCCCATACGCGGGTTAAGAAATCGGACGTCGTAGCATGGTTGTCAATGATGCGGAGGTCATGGTTTTGGGCGCGTATTAACACTCGAACAGCGAGTTCTGGGTTTATTTTGACCCACAGCATAGGTACGGTTGTTTAAATATAAAGAAAAACTAACGTGTTTGCAAAAAGTAATCACAAAAATAATGTTCACAAAAATTGCCCATTCTAAGCATACTCAGCCACATGATCGTAAAAAAAGACCGCTGTCCGAGTGTTAAAACGATGCGTACACGCGGAACACGTGGAGCCTCTATCGTGAAATTGAAAATCCTGAATCTCCTGATGCAGATTCAATTACGGATTCGAATGTATGCGTGTGCTTGCGCTAAAATAGCCGCATTTTAATCATCGTAATTTTGAATACAACATGCACACGTACGCGATTTTTGACACCGCTCGATGATCCAGATCTTTATTATTTTACTTGCGTGAGTTTTTCTTTTGTCGCTGCTTAAACTCGAACGATAGTATTCCACGCTGAAATCATTCGAACATTCAAATCGAAGGAATAGTTTTCGACGGTCGAGTAGATTTCTAGATAGCCTTTAAATTTACAACTGTCCTATATTTCAATTCTATTCATAGTTTTCAAGAAGCTGCATTCTTGTTCGTACTAATTCTTTTTGTTTTCTCATATTATCGTTCCGCGAATTATGCGAAATAAATTGCTTGGAATTCTTGGATATTTAGTAGAATGTTAATACATACACGTAAAATAGAGGCTTTTAATGCGCGGCTAAACGATTATTCATTTACACGGATTAAAGCACGGTTGCGTTGAATACATAGGAAATAAGGACCTCTACGATGCTGTGATGCTGGGAGGCATCGACTCTATGTATATAATATATAACAAAATATTTGAAGAACCTATTTTATAAGTTGTCACACTTCTTTCTCGTAACGTACACAATGACAATGGCTACTGTTCGGTCGGAGTCCGAGATGATGCTTGATGCCAAAAAAGTACAGGGATCAATGTCCCTGACGCAACTGCCAATCCGAGGTTCGTTCTCGAGCGCGACGAACTCGCGAGACAATGAATAATTTAATTTTCAATTACTTCGTACGATATGTCACTATTGTAACTGCCTATGTATTTTGCATTAAATAAAGGTATTTTATAGAAACCAGCGGAAGCTGTGGTGCACACACTGATGTCTAAGAATCATTGGAGATAGTCTTCGAAAATGATTAATACCTTGAATGTCCTTCTATGTACAAACATGTTTTTATGCATAAACCGAGAGAAATGATTGGTATACGATTTGTATACAGACGGTACCAAAATAACGGGTTTAGCACAATAAAATAGGAAAGTTCATATTTTTATGTATACTCCGTGATATGTATGATATGATATACAGGGTGTCCCAAAAATGTCTCGTAATCCGAAAGTAGGGGATTCATGAGGTCATTTGAAGCAACTTTTTCCTTAGCGATAATGCAATCCGCGGCTTCGTTAACGAGTTATTAACGAAAAACAGTGACCAATCAGAGACGAGATCATTTGGCGCGAGACGGCCGAGCCACTGAGCGGAACTGGACTTCGTGCACTCGTTGGCTGGGCCGCCGCACGCCAACCGAGCTCGCCTCTAATTGGTCAGTGTTTTTCGTTAATAACTCGTAAACGAAGCCTCGGAGAAAATTTTCGCAAAGGAAGAAGTTGCTTCAAATGACCTCAGGAACCTCCCATTTCTGGATTGCGAGACATTTTCGGGACACCCTGTACATATTGCTGCCAACTCTCAACTTTCATTTCTAGTAAATCGTCTGTTTTCTTATAGGAATGGTTGTTCCATTTACTTAAACTGTTTGTAGTAATAACTTTTTAAACACCGTCTTATGTTTCTCAACAATTTTCCACTCGCCAGTTCCATAAATTTTTGATTACTCTGTTGCCTGCATTTCGTATTATTTAGTTCATTGGCTGGTAAATGCGTCTGTTAAAATGAAGTGTATCAACTAATTCTTCAACTGTTTATTCTTATCGAATCTTTTTTTAAATAATTCCAAAATGTGTTATACTTGTAATTCAATACATTTTGGTACATAGTAATACATACATATAACGCGTTGCTAAAAATTGATTACTTTGTATATTACAATGTAAAATTCACTCGGATAAAATAATGTAATATTGTTCTTACGATAATTTGTTTCTACGACTTTGCTTTTACTAATATTGAGGAATCCCCTGATTCATTTATAGAAGCAACTATGCAATTAGAATTTTTTGCAGAATTTAACTTTGCCTTTATTAAAGCTTCTGCTGCATAACATTGTCTTTCAAACTTGTCGCGATCTACATCATGATCAGAAATCTTGTCCTCACACTCAATGTTAATTTGAACCCTATTGTAAGAATTAAACAATTCCTCTAATTAGGACGGGGGCTTCTAACTCAAAATTGTTTATCTCTAATGCTTCATCCACATATGGACTAATACACGCGATCGGTTCTTTAATAACAGATCTTGATCTCTTCATATTTTTAATAACTTATTGTGAATTCGTCATATTAAATTCGTAATGCAAGGTAAAATCGGAGATAATTCCTGTCCAGCATTGAATGCTTTATACTGTATCCACTCGACAAGTGTTTAGATAGCTGCTGCAGAAACTCTTGGCAGCTATCTCGAATCCTTAGAATAGCTTCGATGTGATCCTTTTAAGTACTTCGACCTCAGATTGCAACATGGGAAAAAATTACCTGTTTTTGGTTGAAATTCGTGAAAAAATCTGCGAATGAAAAATATTTATTCAAGATAAGTGGGAGCAATCGGAGCAAAACATTATTTTAGAAATCTATGACTGCTAATAAACGTAAAGGAGGAGCCACGCTGATTTATTGCTGTACATAATTTCTAGTTAAGTCTCCTACTGTATTTCCATAAAAATCCTTCTCTTCCAAATAAAATTATTCAAACTGGCGAAATTCAATTCTATTTCATTTTTGTATGTTCATGGTGGTATTTTGCAAATTTGTGTAGAAACGAAACCTGGATTGTGGTGTTAAATAAATCAAAATTACGTTAATTTTAAAGTGTGGTATCTTTTTGACCGACACTGTATACCACGCACACCACAATTCATATTATCTTAAATATCGTGTCCATAGTTATATAATCGCTTTTTTTAAATGAAAAACCGTTCAGCATTACGTAACATACTTATTGAGTGGACAAAATCACGTATAACTTACGAAAAATAGGTTACTTAAGGAAAAAACGTCGAGTGTTCGGTTTTTATCGCCTGCGCCATTGTTCCACCCCTAAAAATATTGGACAAAAATTGACAAAACTGTTTTCGGTAATATCTTTCGATAGCTTTAATATGCCGAGGGCAAAAAATTTTGATTTATTTGGAGAAAACTAAAAAAAAAGAATTACAATTAAAATACTTACAATCGACTGTAAAACATGGTGGAAGCTCAGTGATTATTTGGGGCAGGATGACAGCATCCGGAATGGATAATCTTGTCTTTATCGATCGAATCAATTAAAGCAAGTAATAAAGTATCGAGGTGATTCGACGAAATACTAAGTTAGTATAAAATAATGAAGTCATAGTAACATGCGATTTTTTTCGAAAAAATATAAGCTATGGAATTAATGTTCAATGTTAAACCGACAATGAAAACAAAACAAAACTGCTGTTGTAAAAGTGAGATACGAACACTTTCGTATCGTATATTTAACCCTTTGCACTCCGCTGTCCCCTCTCGTGGGACATCGTAATTCTAGCTATATCTATAGTTATATCTAATCTAGCTATATCTAGCTAGTCAAAAATCACAGTTACTTGTAATAATCAGTCGCTTCACGGACACCGCAAGCGGTATGTAACAACTTTCTACATCTCCAATTATTATTGCTACATATATTCGAAACACCACGAAAAATCCAATACATCTGCCACTGTCTGTGGATAACTGTCACTCGGCAAGCTAAAAATTGCATCAATTATTTACAAACTATTATAGTTACAGTTTTTCACAATTATGATTTCTACAACTATGCAATTGTAAGATTCAGCGGTTATATGTACAAGAAAAAGTTATTCGAAACGTTGAGTCCTATAGTATATCTAAAAATCGGGAACCATAACTGTTATAATCAAAATTAGAAAAGTCATGGCGTAACAAGTACTTCATCGATTAAAATCGTATTGGTTACAATGAAGGATTATAAGTGGCCAAAATTATTTTGGATTATTTCGGACGCTAAGGATAGTTTCACGTGTTCACATAAATTTTTGCAAACTTTCTCCAGACAAATTATTCTCGAAATTATCGAACGTTAATTTTGGAGCGGAATAGGCTCGTTCAACACTGTCCTGAGTTGCAGCACAGAGTCAATTATGCGTGCCAATTTTGATAAAAACAGGAGTCTAATTATGTAACATTGAACATTCCTTTCAGAAGGAAACAGTAATATATGTGAACACTGTATTAAAACATAGTGTAACAGTATACTAATCTTAGAATTTTTTTTAAACAGCAAAAAGTTACGATCTGAACGACCCTTTCCGAATAACAATGGCGGCAGTTAATTACATTCTAGTACGAGGTCGTTCGTTAATTCCAGAATACTTTGAAGGGTGTGATGTCTTTGGCTTGGATGCTAACGATGTTTCCAGTTTGACTACATCGTGTATAAAAATGATAAACAACAGAGAGGAACACGGTTCATCCTTCGGTGACTACAAGATTTCAGGTTAATGAAGAATATTTCACTAATTATGCAGATTGAGTAGAAAAACTTTCAAGAAAGATAGCCATGAATTTCGAGCAAAAGATTCTTTGAGTAGAAAGAGAAATAGCTTCTACAAATATTGGGTTGGCAACTAAGTAATTGCCGATTTGTTCAATGAAATAAAAATTTTTTTTTTACTTGGAATGAAGTTTAATCTGTAATGTATTTTCCATTCTGTTCGATGACCTTTTGCCATCTCTCTGACAACTTGAAAATTCCACGCTCGCAGAAAGTCTGATCCTTTTCGGCCAAAAACTGAGTTAAGTGAGATTTTACAGCGTCATCATCGTTAAAAGTTTTACCACGAAGGGAGTTGTCCAGGAATCGAAATAAGTGGCAATCCGATGGCGCGAGATCAGGGCTATATGGTGGGTGTAACATCAATTCCCAACCAATATCCATCAATTTTTGCCGAGTGGACAAAGACGTGTGCGGCCTAGCATTGTCCTGCTGGAAAATGACACCTTTACGATTGACCAATTCTGGTCGCTTTTCTTAGACCGCTGCATTCAATTTGTTCAGTTGCTAACATTCACGGATAATAAAAAATAACATAATAATAATATAATAATAATAATTTTATAATATAACATTTACGGATATCATAAAAATGGGAGTGAGAGACATCTATAACTGAAATCGGCAATTACTTAGTTGCCAACCCAATACTTTCCCTATGCATATGTACACGATGTAATTGTCACTTTCGTTGAATCTAACTATATTGTTCATAACATCAAGTATACGGGAACCAAATTCGTCGTGCGACACAGTGCAATAGGCCTACAGGGGATACTACTGAGAAAAAAAATGTATTAACGATAGTAATTCATGGTTGATCTTGAAATCTATTGATATCAGCGTCGCCCTAATGCGCCATGAATATTTACTACGACACACGCTTGAAGTTTTTCGTGCTAATTGGGGTAACACGGGGAGCGAGACGCTACGACGGGAGTCATTCCGACGAACCTTAGCATAGGCGTAGGAATACCACAGGGACCATGTGGGAGAATTTACTGTAATAGCAAAATTATAAAGAATAGTATTTTTATCATTGTACAATGAAGCAGTCCCTCTGACATTCGCAAAAAAATTCAAGTCACTTAGACCAGTTTTAAAATAGTTATACTGTCTTAACCCCTTAACGCGCAGAAACGTATTAACACGGGCGTGCAAAACCGGCCAAAATGTGCAGACCCGTATATATACGGTCGGCGTCGCAACTTATGTCGCTAAAATGTTCAGATTCGAATATATCCGGGCAGTAAAAATAACTTAATAAAAACCAAGGAAAACATTCAATTTATTGATATTCATCGTGTAATTCTGTATTGTAAGCTGTAAAGTTTGTTTATTTGGGATTATAAAATATGGCCTTTTAGGGTGACGCTTATAAGCATCTCTGACCTGGTAATTGTTTCTATCTATCTATATCCATTATTGCGTATCTAATTAGCGTTGGCACTTTTGTGAGTTTTGTTATGACTAATTTATTTATTACTCTTCAGTTATCTCCGATCTCTTTCTATTTTTTGCTTATTCAGGAATAAAATATGCACTTTTAGGATGGCACTTATGAACATTTAGTGTATTATTCGTGAGCAAGTCGTGAAGTAAAGTAGACGTTATCAAAGTGAATTTCTTCAAAGACAATTGTTTTTTATTTTTTACAAATATTATTAGTGTCAACATATAAAAACGTTTTTGTTTTATGGTGTATTTTTATAGAGAGTAAATTGGATTTTTAGTGTATAAAAGGTATGTTTTCTAATGTTGAAATAAGGAATGTTGGGCTATGTGCTGCACCTTGTTTTGAAATTTACCATACAAAAGAAAATTTTGAATAGTTTTAGTTTATTATATATTTTTCAGCTAATAAATATTATTATTATATTATTACAAATTTAGGTAAAATTAAATATTTT